TAACTGTCAATCGGGCAGACTTCTTTTCATGTACTATTAGAAGCACTGACTCTTTTAGTTTAGTAGTAGCTGAGACATTTTAAGCAGATCCATAAATGTCAAGCTGTTGTGGGATTATTAATGTAAGACAAATCTACACATGAAGGTGTTTCCCAAATTCCGTTGTGATCCATCCAATAGTTCTCAAGATATTTTAGTCTGGACCAAAACAGTAGCCAGACAAGACCAATCATTGCTATTCCAAGAACGCTTGAATGATTCTGTGTTCCCTTAGCTTACACTCATTACCCAGTGTGTGTTTGTGTGAATGCACCTTACCATGATGATCTCTAGCTCTCGGCAGCAGTTTTTGTAAACAATATCTGCAGCCGTACACCAACTGTTGTTCACGTGAAGACACACACTCCTCTGCTCCTCCTGGCGTCTCTCGTTTGGCCTGCTCTGTAAACAGACAGCCAACTACTTTGATCACCGCGTACGGAATGTTGTTGTTCAGCCAGGTCTCTTCGATGATAGTCAAAAATGAGGCATAATTCTCATTCTGATCGCATCCATCATGTTTGTAATATAGCTTGAGTAGGCGAAGAAAAGACTCCGGATTGCCTGGGCCCTGTACTACAAAGCATGATTTGCAGTTATTGTGGTAACTTCAGGTTTACTTCAGGGGTTTCAGTCCTATGAAGCTTGTTCACTTCATATCTAGGTAAATCACGATCGTAACTTATGCTGAATGGCTAACCTGCTCCGGAGCAGGTTAAGTTGGAGATAAGAGATCAACCCGTATAAAAATATTTGCTCACTGACCAATCAATTTCTTTGAATTTTAGGGGATCCCCTGGAGCAAAATCCAAAAACTTTTAAAAAGAGGATGCTGTGGAGGTTGCTTTGAGGAGGACAACGGTCTTCAGAGAACCACAAAATCCTTTTACCTAGTCCAATGAGTGTCTTTATAAAAGATCTAGATTCTCATCAGAGGGAATCATAAAACTTTTCCAGCTGCTGGAGCCAAACATGACCAACCTGACACGTAGGAGATATGTGTTCACAGTACCACCTGCATATGTCTACAGTTCTTTACTTAAGTTACTCATTGATATACTGGGTGTGTTAGCGGCAGGATAACCAGGCATAGTTTAATACATGTAAGTAGGTTTATCCTATGAAATTAAATATTTAATTGAAATTCGGGATAGATAGTTTACCTAAATACCTACACAGATTTACCCCATCCCTCCCTCTCCCTTCTCTCTCTGAGACTCAAACAGTCAGCCCTCACCAAAATGACTACACTGAACAGTGCATACCCTTAAAGAAAAGGATGAGGGAACCATGCACTCAGATTTTGATGAGGCAAACCTGGGTTGACTAAACAAGTTGATAACCAGCTTTGTGTGGCTGCTTAGCCTTGCTGCGATCATTAGGTTAAGTTCACCCAGATTTTGAAAAGATATCCTGGGTATGTTGAACTTGCTTTGTAGTACATGTCCCAGGTCTGTACAGGTTAGCCTTTAGCCTAGCACCTAGCCAAGCTTGCCC